CAATTTGTTAAATCAGAATTAAGAAATTTTAAATTTTATTAATTTTTTAAAAAATTAATAAGTTTTCACCTCTCTTTGTAATAAAAATAAAAACAATATTTTTAGAAAAAAATATTTTAAAATCTCACTCAACACAAATAAGTACTCTTTGATCTATAACATTTTTTAATTTCAATTATCAATAAACTTAAGAGTAATTAATTATACCGAGCAAGACTTGTATGTAATTCTCTTTATTTTTAACAATTTTTTCTAGTAGTTAATAAAAGTAAGAAAATAAAAATGCATATAGAAAATAATAAATTGTCCCATAAGTATGGTTAAAAGTAATCTTTTATCTAGTCCATAAATAAAACCAGAGGGGTAATCTCTACTTGTTGTTTGTTTTTTCATGATAGTGGTTTAATAGTTAACTAGGGCACGAGCAATATTTATTGTAATTAATATTTATTGTATAAATTTTCTAACCATCTATCTCTTATTTCCAAAATTAGTGAATTTCATTTGTTATAAGTTTTCTGACAGCCATATTTTGTTTCCAATTGAAATTTTTTTCCACTTAAAAACTTATATGTAAAGTGATCCTTTTTATGTAGGCTAAAAGAAGTTACGACTTAATAATACAATAAAAACATAGAAAAACAACTCTCTAATACTAGATCAAAAAGAGTACAGTAAAATGGCATTTACACTGACTATATTAGCGTGGTAGAAAAAGTTATTTTAATCAAGTAATATTCGGTCTAGTACAAACATTGAATTTTTTATTTGGTATTCTTATACTGTTAAAAAAAAGAAAAAGAAAGAAAGAGTTTTGTTAGTATTCCCTTCACCTAGCTCTCAACAATGGCAAATAATTTTAACTGTACTAACAAAAATTTGCTATTTTTGGTCCTTTGCCTATTTCATTTTACTAAAGAAAATAAATATATAATTTAACAATTTTTGAAAGCAGCTTTCGTGAACACATTAAGTTAGATAGGTTGACTTTGGGTATTTAGGAGACCATTGTTCACTTAATGAAAATAATTGCCTGGGTTACAAAATAATTTATCAAGGTGAGAAGATTTACAGTAGAGTTTGATTCCATCGATGGTAACGATAATTTCTAGATTGAGATAGCCTGCATCGGTCGATAATTTTGTTAAAGAAATCTATATGTTAGACTGAATGGACATGAAAAAACATTACATTGAATTTTCATAAATCCCTAATTAAAAAAGGATTCACACAAAGATTTTAACTATAATTATTAATTTTATCAGTGAGTACTTTGGTGAATTGATAGAGAAGAACATTTCCAACTTACAGAACAATGTCAACAGAAGAGAGAGATAACCGTATTAAAGTAACAAAATCTATATGAAAAAGAAAGTGATCTAACATAAAAGCTAAAGAATCACAAATTAACAATCTCACAACTATATAACTGCAACAAACATAACTTAAAATGGTCAAAAAATTTACCCATTAAATACAAGATACGATACTTCAATTTAAAAGAATATCGCAATTCACATAAGTTCTAAAAAAAAAACAAAACAAATGCATAATGATATTGAGGATACAAACCAAAGAAGAACAAAAATTCATAAAGGAAAAATAAACCTGCCAGACCCTATAACTAACCCAATCACACATTTCATACCTTAATCGAAGTTTTGATTACTATGAAGCATATCACCTACGACACTGAGATATTGTCAAACATTTCCTGAAAGACAACATTTTGGAACATGGTCCTTGATTTTTGATCATTTGAATGTATTAATATCTTCAAACCATATCTAAATTTTACCCTTGATAAAGCAACATACAGCTAGCCATGAGTGAAAATCAAATTGGGCAAAAATATTCTCACTTGTTTCAATGATTGTCCTTGACTTTTATTCAAGTCGTTGCAAAAGATATAGTAAAATAAAATTGCCTTCTCTTTAACTTAAATGGCAACCTTAAGTTAAAAGAAGTCATATCCATTTTATGAATTAGTGCCTTCTAATTAACATGAGATCCATTTAAAATCCGTACCTCAATTACTTTGCCACCAATCCACTCAATTGTCAATCAAGTTCCATTACACAATCTCATTGACTAATCAATATTTTGAATAATCATGACATGCATTTCAATTTTCAGTGACAATTTATGAGGAGGCAACCTAGAGCAGTCAATGGTATTTAGGAATCTAGGTGCATAAATATCATCAAATGAATCATTTTCGTAGGGTGACAGGGCAGTTGAATCAGAGCTAAAAAAAGTCCACTTGCCCTCCAAGAAAAATAGAACAAATGTATTGATTGATTTTATTCACAACATCTGTTGTGGGAGATAGAATAGCCCTACGTGTAAACAGAGAATCTTCACACCTCTCCTTCACATCACCAAAAACAGCATCAACTATTGCCTTGATAGGATCATTATATTGAAGGATCAAAAAATCATTCAAAATTTGAATATCAATGTAGCCATTGTGTGGCTGGTTGATTTCCCTATCACCTACATTAAGTAACCATTTGGAAAATTCTTCTAAATCATGATGTTGTTGCTGTTCAATTGATCGCAGCCTTAGATTTTTTGTGAGCATAAATACCTTCCAACATTGCTATAAGTATGAATGGTTAATAGTTGTATTAACTATGTTAGCCGTATTACCCCTAACAATGACTGGTAAAATCTATCTAAAATCACCTCCCATCACCACACATTTCCCCTTAAAAGGCAAAAGTTCAGTTTCATCTTAATCAATCCTCAATATATCTCTGAAGAATTTGTTGACTGCTTCAATACAAAATTGATGAATCATAGGTTCATCCTAAATTATAAGTTTGGCCTTATGAATCAGCATAGCCAAAGGAAAATTTTGCTTAATGCTACAAGTTGAGTTTTCATTAATATATATCATAATAGGAAATCTAGATGTGTTGTGCAGCCGTTAGGAAGTAATGTTGATGTAATCCCACTGGAACCAACACTTAACACAATTTCACCTTGAGATTTCAAATAAGTACTCAAACAATTCTACAAATATGTTTTCCCAATGCCACCAAAAGCATAAACAAAGAAAAATTTTGCATCTTGACTTGACAAACTATCAATGACATGATGGAAAATATACTATTGTTCTGTTGTCAACTTGGAAATTAATTCACTTACTTGTACATAGAGAAATTGCCTATCAACATTTAATTCTTCCAAAATCAAAGTATTAGCAAAGTCAAAAGGACCATTGTCAAAAGGAGCTAAGAATTTAGGGTAATCACCCAATAATCTTCCATTGTTGCAAAGGAAATTATTTATAACTTTCAAAGCTTCGTTCTCTTTTTCTAATAATGAGAATTTAATTCCTGGAGGGAAAAATTAAAATACCAGGTTAGAAAACATAAACCAACACTGATGTAGCTTAGAATAGCTAAACAAATGGAAAAGAAAATAATTTAAATACGCACCAGACATGTTCTTATTTGCTGTTGGAATATATATCATGTTATTAGACAACTAAACTTTTGTTTGATCCCAGAAAAACTTAGGTCTAGGTAAAGTTTGAGCTAAAAGAATTTGTGCAAAAAATCTATACAAACCAATACCAAAAACCCAATGTGCAGCTTCTTCAATAGCATCAATAAATTTTCGATCATCATCTACCAATCTCATTGCATAACATGTTGATCTATAAGTAGGATGCACAATATTATTGATAGTTTGAAGGGCTTCAAAGGAGGAATCACCTTCAACCTTATTAAGCATTACTCACAAATTAAAAAAAAATTCCCCATTACCAGGATGAATAGTTAATTGACCAATCTTAATTCCTCTTTATCGATGCTTCCAAAGTCGATCCCTTTTTGCTTTATAAACAAACCTAGATGAAAATTTAGCACATGTCAAATCAGGCCCATTATCCATTCTTTTATAAGTACAATACCCCTCTTTATCAACAATTGTCTTAGAATGAAATTTTTTTTGGTAATATTTACAACATTTTCCATCTTTCATACAAGGAGACTTAAGATTAGAATCGCCACACGGTCCATGAAACATATGAGCTTTCATAAGTTCATGCAAAACTGGGTTCTGATCAGGATCAGGTATCTCTGTAAATATCATTTTATCAATTGCATTAGCTGTTATTATCTTATCTTTATTTGCAAGCCATAGTATAATATAAGCTTGCGGGAGGCCGCTTTTTTGAAACTCAATACTACTATTAAGAAAGGAAAGAACAAAATCTTTAATGATAACAACACAAAAAGAAATCAAAGTTCAAACAATATAATATCATAATTAATCAAGTAACACCCATACTGTTCAGGGTGACAAAAACTTATAAGTTTGTAGTGTTACTCGCCTCAACAATCCCAAAAGCCTCTTTTTCTTTTATGACCTTGAGTAATGATTCCAATTTCTATTGAAAAATCCTTGCGATGTAATTTGGTCGACAAGATGCTAGAGAAGAATATATTTGACACATTTGTTTTAATTTAGGCCAAGTAGGGTTACATGTGAATGTCAAAAATAAATCAGGGTGACCTTTAGCTCTAGCAATAGCCATAACATCTTGGTAATTTTCAAGAAGAAACCATTTTTTTCTTCACACTTCCATGCTCAAATTGATATGCATACTCAATATTAGATTCATACCCTCTAATACCAAATGGAAACAAAATTGTGTACTGAAGAGGTAAGTACGACATATGAAGCTCATGAATTTTTCTAAATTCACCAAACTGTTTCCTCACAATAATATCCCTCAAATGATAAGAATGGTCAAATTCTCCAATTATCAAGGCAATAATATCAAAAAACATAGGTACACATAATTCCTTCGATCAACTGATCTTTCACTCAATAACAGTATTTTAATATCATCTTGATAACTAGTTGTAACAATGTTAGAAGCATATCTGTAAAGCTGCACCAATACATTAACATTGTCAAGCAAAGACATCAGTTTCTCTGCAATAATTGGATCTACATGATCCTCTTTATCACGTACCCTACAAATTAAAATAAAGAACATAATTACAAAAGAAAAATAATATAACAACTTCAAATGATTATAAATATATCCACTTAAAAGATACTTGTAGCTCACTACATATATGAGATCATCAATCTCATTCTCAGTGTCAACTACATAAAGTTGAGAATACATAGGAGTAGTCCCACTCTCGAATAGAAGACTTCCAATACGTTGATAATTTTGTCCATCCAATGTAAAGGAATATGGACTAAGTCCATCATTACTCTTTATTTTGCCTCCCATCAAAGTAAAAGAAACATATTATTATAACATCTTATATTCTTTATAAAATTCGTAGAATCACTTGAATCATGGTCAAAAAAACAAATGCTTTATTGGCTCCAAGCAAAGTGGCAACTTTATTTTTCCTTGAAAACAACAAAGGGCAAATTGCAATGATTTAGTAGACAAACCATGTTTAACCCTTTCATCATACCACATCAAAACACTACATTCACCACAACAAAAAATTGGATCTCCTTCATCAATATATCCTACAAATTAATTCAATTATCACAACATTAGCAAAGCTATTAAAAAACGTAATTACTATAAATAACTCATTAAAGAAAGGTATACAATCATTATATCAAAAAAAAAAAGATTGTCTGATATTATCTTTTATGTAAGTCTCTAATATATGACCATTGGAAATGCTGAAAAAGCAAACCATGACTAATTATTAAATAAAAATTAACTTCAAACAATAACACTCCTCCTTTCATAAATTACAAAAAATAGAAATAGAATTACTTACAAAAGGCAACATCAGAAGAAATTACACAAAAATCTCGCCACATCCAAAAGGCCTTCTTTAAGTCCTTTTTATAGGTTGACCAATATCTCTCACAACATTCTTACACATGAAAAGAAAAAAGAAAAATGGCATAATTCAGCCACGCCAAAGGTTCAAAAAATATAGAAACATTCAATATCAAAAATAACTACCACCTTGATTCATTAATAATAGTGTCACAACCTTGAACTATACTAGATGCAGCGACTATTATGTCTTCATACATTGACAACGGCTCAATAGAATTCAACACTCATAATTTCTTTTGCCTTCTTGTACCATAGTGTACCAAAAAAACACAAACTATTTGTCAATAACACTAAAAAAAACCATAAAAACTTTAAATTAAAAAACCTAGCAACTTATGATAATTGTCTATGTGTTCATCACTATAACTAACTTTTCTTTTCCTACATGCAAAGACTATACTATAAAAAAACAATTAACCCAAATATCACACATAACAAATAAATCACTTACATTAAGTAATAAATTAGACACAAAAAAACTCAATACTACAACTAACCTCAACTCGAATAAATGAATATCATTAGAAGCCCTCTGCTGACTTCTAATAGAACCTTTATTATATGGGTCCTTCCAAAATCCTAACACTCTTATTGATAAAAGCATTACCACATTCATGTCAACCAAAACAAACAATCACTTAAGATCTATATATAAATTAATATCAAGTACTTTCTGCAACACACTTTGCATTATATAGTTTACAAAATATAAAATGCCACCATAAATGCACAGATATACAAAACAAATATTCTAAATAAACCTATTAATAGTTCCTAACAAAACTTACATGATTAGAGAATACATCAAAAATAACCAGTTCGTGAAATTGGTGTGTACATATTTGGGTTTGGTTGCAACTAAAAGAATTTAAGAAATAGTTAAGTAATCGGAGCCACCTGTCCTTTGACCTGTCTCAGCTATAAATAAGGGTCTAATAGTCAGTTGGACAATACACTCTAAATCATATATAAACAAACTTCGCATTGTTTTGACCCATGGTTGATGGCACTTCACATTGTACACTCCTCCTTATTATACACTAGATACCGAAACAAATCTCATTATTATGTAAGATTAATAAAAAACCACTTCAAAGCACACATTCAAACACCTACTAATTAATGTTCAAAGAAAAGGTTGTAGGTAACACAACATGCATGCATGTGCATCTGCTCTAACTTTATCTTCCCTAGCTTTGTAGTTCGCACATGTTCAATGCTTTTGAATGTGATCCATTAAATATTTATTTTCTATTTCTAATTAAAGCCTCACACAACTCTAACGTACTATTATACACTTTTTAAGATCAAAGAAAATGTTGCTTTTTCTCTTTCTTGCCTTTTGTTTGTTTGTTTGTTTGTTTTTTAATAATTTGTGGTATCAACTTCACTACACCTGTGATGTTTCACAGAATTATATGCTGTGCCGTTAAAAAAAAGTCATCTATATAGCACAAGTAGAAGAATTAAAAAAAAAAAGAAAAGGTAAAACGGACGGACAATTTAAGTAAGTAAAAGTAGCTATTATTTCAAGAAATGTAAATATATTTACATATGCATTGATAATTGAAATTTTACAGTAATTACTTTACGAACAACAATAGGGCCATGTGAAGAAGTTCTAGGCCCTAAGACAATTATTTTGAGAGGCCTATTGTATGTCTTATTATGAGAGGCCTATTGTATTCAAATTTTGTAGTTGACATTTATACAACTCTAAATGCTATAAAAAATTTAAAAAACAATTATAATTTTAGACAAAAAGTAATATAAACAGTAAAAGTATAACAAATACACCTGAAGTGTCCACCACCTTAAATCTATTGTTAGTGTTTTTTGTTTTAAGTTCAATTAGATAGCTAGCTAAATATTCCAGTAAGAGGAAATTATTTGGCAAATGAGTGACAATGCAACAAGTTTGAGCACCATAGTAATATTTACCTTTAAAAAAAATGATGATAGCAGTAATTCAATTGAAAGGAAGAGAGAGTTAGATGCTAACAAAGTGGCCCCATCCATAGTATGTTAATGTTACCTCTCTGAATGGCTAATTGATATTATGGAATGAGAATGATAGATACAATGAAATGTAAGATGATCGATGAATTGTTAATGAAAAGATGTAATTAATAGTAACACTTAATAAGAAAAATAATGAGCTGAATTATATAGAGTATAAGCAAATTTTTTTGAAGCCTAAGGCAATTGCCTCATTTGCCTAACAATAGACATGTCTCTAACCAACAACATTATATTCCACTTGTTCTTCATTACTAAGTTACATAGACCTAGTAACTTCTCTAGCCATTGATTCTCCTTAGGTTGTCCAAGTTACAATCATTCATGTTTCATCTAGTGCATCTGACAGACAGTTTCACAGAAGGAGTTCATAATGCGCGCGCGTGCACGTATAACATGAAGAGGTTGTTGTTTGTCAATATGTAGTGGATGGAGTTGTTTTCTATTGTTGTTAGAGAAACTGCTTTATATGATAGATGCATTAAAAATGAGGAATAAATTTAAATAAAAATTTCATACCTTCTTTAAAGGATTGACCATTCCTTAAGTCAGAAATTTTTGGTATTCCAAAAACTTCTGCTGAATTTAAGGATGCCCCAACATCTACCATTCTTGCATCCATTTCTTTCAGCTTCAGAAATTGCAAGAGACAAAGATCACTCGCGATAGAACCCATAAACCAGTGGCGATCATGAATGAAAGGTTTTGAAAGTCTAGCAATAAGCAAACTTTCTAGGACAAAAGACCCATGATAGGCACCAACGACATCAATAGTGAAAGAGGTCGAAGAGCAGCTCATCACCCAGAAAAAAAGTTCTTGCGTGTTACATCTTTAATCTTCAAAAAGTGCATCAAAAAACGGTGACTCACGATAGAAGCGATTTAGGTAGAATGGGTTATTTAGTTTGGCAGTGAGGGAAGTTTCCTGGAAAAGATACACACCATTAGCACTGACGGCATCCACGGTCAAAGTGCCAGAGAAGCAGCACCGTAACACTAAAATACCAACAAACCATGGAATGGAATCATGACAACTGGCGTCGATCAGAATACATCAAATGTGTTTCTAGAGATCTCTAAAACCTCTGTTTTGCACGAGCACCAATTAAAAGCGCGAGTCAAGCAAGCAATCTCGACATTTGAAATGAACTTTGAATAGAGAAAGGATGCTAAAAAAAAAATGGCTAGGACTTTAAGGGCAGAAAATGGGCCGACATTTAACACATTTCAATTCAAACCAGTCTATGGAATATTTACAATGACCAAGAAATCCTTATAATCCATAAATCCAATCAAAAACTTACGTTTAATTATTTAGGATTGAAAAGAAAAAACAATATTTGTTCAATGGGACCCACAAAGAAGAGGACAAATCAATGGCCAAACATTGTTGGTGAATAGTGTAACAGTGCGATATTGATGGGCTTTAAATATTGTACGATTCCATAGTTGTTTGGCTCGATTATTATCATTATACAATTTTACAACATCTTGTCCATTTTAATAAAAACCATTGAAAGTTGGAGGCCATAGACTAGCACTCGCCGTTGGAATCTTATATCTTTCAAATAAATTATAGGAAGTTGCTTGCACACTTGCAGTATATTTTTTGTCTGATCCTCTCCTCAGTCTTTTTCAACAAAATAATAATAAAATCTCTTTAAAATATATAAATGATAATTTAATCTCTCAAAATGTTATAATTTTTTTAAATTTTTTGAAACTTTTCTATCATTAATGAATTTATATAAATTATCAAATTGCCCTTGTTGAAAATAAATGATTCATAAGTTTTTTTTAAATATTCACAACTTTTTTTTTATATTCACAACAATGCAACAGCAAATAAAGAATTAATATGCGAAGTTGTGATTTGCTATTATATTGTTGCGAATATAAGAAGAAAAATTGTGAATATTTAAATAAAACTTGCAAATCATTTATTTTTAATAAAGGCAATTTAATAATTTATATATATTCATTAACGACAGAAAAGTTTCTAAAGACTTCAGAAGAAGTATTACATTTTGAAAGACTAAATTGTCATTTATACATTTAAAAAAAAATTATTATCATTTTCTCATCTCCCCCCCCCCCTTTTTTCTTCTTCTCATCCCATCTTTATCTTTAGATTACAGAATGGATGATTTGGATTTAAGTGTTTTATAAAATAATTAGGAAAAATTATAAATAAGTTTCATAAAATTCAGAAACCCTAGCCAAGTCTCTTGAAACTTTAGTATAACTTGAAATTAGGGTACAAAGGTAATAATGTCCCTATTAAAATTACATTACGTTAATCAATTAATTTATAATTATTTTATTAATAATTTACAACTATCACTTGACACATCCCATAGTTAAAATGATCATCATACGTTACAAATTTAATACTTATCTTTTAAAATTATTTTATCAGTAATCTATAATTATCATTTTAATATTTTACAACTGTAATTTCACATATATAATAATAAAGGCAATATTATATTTGCACCCTAATTTTAAATTATATTTAATTTATAATTATTTTATTAATAATTTACAACTATCACTTGACACATCCCATAGTTAAAATGATCATCATACGTTACAAATTTAATACTTATCTTTTAAAATTATTTTATCAGTAATCTATAATTATCATTTTAATATTTTACAACTGTAATTTCACATATATAATAATAAAGGCAATATTATATTTGCACCCTAATTTTAAATTATATTTAATTTATAATTATTTTATTAATAATTTACAACTATCACTTGACACATCCCATAGTTAAAATGATCATCATACGTTACAAATTTAATACTTATCTTTTAAAATTATTTTATCAGTAATCTATAATTATCATTTTAATATTTTACAACTGTAATTTCACATATATAATAATAAAGGCAATATTATATTTGCACCCTAATTTTAAATTATATTTAAGTTTTAAGGGACCTAATTGTAATTTTTAAATTTTAAAAAATTTATTTATAAATAAGTCTTGTGGAGGTAGCTTTCTCAAATAATTATTATAACGTCGTATAGAAATAAATAAATAAATAAATTTAAAATATTAAAAGTTATGTCTATCGTTATTTAAAAAAATGTATAATTTTTTTTTGCTTATGTTAGTGCAGTTATAAACAGTAAAATATATAATATTAATAGTTGGTTAAAATGAAGCTACGCCTGGTGAGATTTGAGAAAGCTAAAAAAATTACAAATAAAATAATCATGATTTATCTTTTTTTTAAGCTAGTTTTTTCTTTTACCAGATTTGTTTAAAGCTAGTTGAAAATGTGCTTGTCGTCTTCAAACTCTCTAAAACGCGTGACGTGAACAGCTTAGCCAACTAAAAACAAAATTAGACTAACACGATTTTTTTTTTAATTTGTCTTATTTAAAATGACTTGGCCAACTCCAGAGCCAGACAATGTCGAATTCTTAGTTACAGCCTGTTAGGATTCAAAGTATAATCGATTTTTGGGCCAAAATAAATGATTTTTGAAAAAATTATCCAAACAATCAAAAAAATTAACAATTAATTATTGAGTCAGAATTATATTTTGACATAAGCTTTGGGAGATTATTTTGTAGATTCAATTTTACTGTTAAATAATATTTTTTATTTCGTAAATAAAGTTTAACAAATTTAATAATGTTAAATATAATTTTATTAATAATTTTAAAAAGTAATGTCATTTATGATAATTTGTATAGTTAAAATTAATTTCAAAAAACCAATATTCAAACATATGGCATTGTAAAATAATTAATTATAATTAAAATTAATTATATTAATTAATTATTTTTATAATTAGTTATACTTAATTAAAATTAAAACGGGGGTTTACTCCTCCCTAAATTACAGCTTCATTATTTATAACTGATTTTTCAAATATTTACACAAATTGAATTTTGGTTTTAGAAAATTTCTATGTTTTCAACAAAGTAATACCATTTTAGTTATATCACTAAAAAAAAAGTAGAGGATCTTGGTAAATAAATTATCATTTTTTAATGGATAGTTCTTAAGTGTCATTATTTCTTATTGAGGTCCTTGCAATATTCTCTTTAAGTTTGGTTTCTTTAAAGGTCGAATGGCATTGAAATTTTATGGAAGTGATCTAATTTCATTAAGGGCAAAATTTATATGCTTTATATTATATATTTAATATATTTTTATTTAATCAAATTTAGATTTAATTAAAAACAAGTATTTTAAATATATAAGTTTTTTCCTTTCATTAAAGTCGCACGAAAAGAACTAAAATGAAAGTAAAATTTTGATTACTTCTACATAAATATTGTTGCAATTTTTTTTTAAATAATCCCTCTTCAAGATATTTTCTCTTGAGGCGAGGTAGATCGACATCCAAGTTTTGAACCCTTGGCATAATATTTGCTAATAATTTATATTTTAACCACTAGGCCAATCAATACATTAAAATTTATTACGCTGAATAAAATATTCATAGCCATTAATTAATAAGTAAGGTAAAAGAATTCTTGACAACGTTTATGAAGAATTACCAAGTGCTATTATAAAATTATCAACTTCTTAGTAAAACGCAATTATTAACTACCAATCTATAAGGATTTACAACTTTGTTACATGGAATATGGCAAAATTTGCCAAATTTAGAAGTATTGAACATAATCATTAAAAAATTGACTTAGACAGCTCTAAAATGAAACGACGATTTAAATCTATCCACTTCAAAACAAGATAACTCCCTCCATTCTTATACTCCTGAACTGAGACTGCATCTATCCAATAATTTGAGATTTTGGGAGAGAGGGTGTTACAGTGCAAAGGAAATCTACTTTCTAATGGAAATTTACTCTGGTAGCGGATGGAGCTACGTTCTTTCGGCCAGTTGTGTCTTTAATCTTAGTTCTTTTTTATTAGGTTGGTGTTTCAATTTTAAGCCCAAACAATTAGGCAATTAAAACACCAGTCAATAACACCTTAATACCATTAAAAAACAGTTTTAGGAAATAAATAGATTTAAATAGTGGTTAATATTATTAATTAATTCATAATTCCTTTTGAAATACCATGAGATATTATAAACTATTTAACATAAAAAATATTTATATATGTATAAATACAGTTTTAATTTTTTAATATTTTTACTCAAACAGTTTTGCTCACCGAAACAATATTTTATCCATTTTTAATAATTTTTATTTATAAGTAATATAATAAAGATAAAAACAAATATTTAATGATTCATAATAATTTTAATTTAAAACATAAGAATAAAATTTTAATTTGAATAGTTTGATAAAAGCCGTGTTTACTTCAATAAAAAAAAGTCCAAAATGGTTTGACAGAAAGTTGTTTGAGCCACAGGATATTATTCAAAGGGCAAAACTTATATGCTTAAGGTTAGGTTCTTAATATACTTTCTTCCAATAAATTGATGCCACTTGGATGATTTGCGCCAATTAACTCTCCTTGACAAACTTTTACACGGTTAGCATTTAAAAAAGGAAAGAAAACAAGTAAATTAAACTTAATTATTGTCTCGATCAATTCTTGTCCCAATTATTCATCTCTCCACAGCTCTCTCATTGTCTTCTTTTTTCATTCATCGTGCTCGTCTACAGTTTGGTTAAATTAAAGAGACTAATAGAGATTGAGAAAATTGGCTTCATCAGAATACGGACAGCACTGAATACTTTTGACACTCCCTTGTTGCCGCTTTGAGCTTTTAATGATTTTCAAACAAGTGCTCTTACAGCAAAGCAAGAAAGAAGCAAGAAGAACAAGTGAGTAGCTTTTTGTTTTGTGTCAATATCACACCGCTAGAACAAGGGTGGGAGAATTAGTTATTTATAATTTATTTAATTTGTATTAAATTTATGCTGTCACTTGTTCTTCGTGTTTAATTTATTTATAGTTTTTTTTTTCTTAATAATATTATCATTATAAATTTTATGCTGCCAAATCCACAGCTTGTTTTGATCTTTAATCTATAGTTTTTAACAGATGATGTTTTTGTCTTCATCTTTAGAACACTGTCAAAGTGTGTGTATATATTTTAAAATGTTGGTGTTATATCTTATTGGCAGTAAATTTGATGGACAATGTAACCATATCGCCATCATCTAAATCTTCCACAGAAGTAAGTGAAACAAATTTGACTCCATGTGTTGGATTAGAGTTTGAAAGTGAAGAACATGCATATAGATTTTATAATGCTTATGCTGGTCTGGTGGGATTTACCATTAGAAAAGATTGGATAAGCAAATGCAAGTTGGATCATAAGAAGATAATATCTCAAAAATTTGTATGTTTCAAAGAAGGTTTCAAAAGGTTGAAGTGGACCAAGCATGCCCAAAGAAACTATAAAATAAAGATCAAAACAAACTGTGGATTTGACAGCATAAAATTTATAATGATAATATTATTAAGAAAAAACAAAACTATAAATAAATTAAACATGAAAAACAAGTGACAACATGAATTTAATACAAATTAAATAAATTATAAATAAATAAATAAATTCTCTCACCCTTATTCCAGTGCTGCGATATTGACACAAAACATAAAGCCACTCACTTGTTCTTCTTGCTTCTTTCTTGCTTTGCTGTAAGAGCACTTGTTCAAAAATTGTTAAAAGCTCGAAGCGCCAACAAGGGAGTGTCAAAAGTATTCAGTGCCGTCTGTATTCTAATGAAGCCAATTCTCTCAATCTCTATCAGTCTCTTTAATTTAACCAAACTGTAGACGAGCACGATGAATGAAAAAAGAAGACAGCGAGAGAGCGGCGGAGAGATGAATAATTGGGACAAGGATTGATCGGGACAATAATTAGGTTTAATTTACTTATTTCCTTTCCTTTTTTAAATGCTAACAGTGTAAAAGTCTGTTAAGGAGAGTTAATTGATGAGCTGGACAAATCATTCAAGTGGCATCAATTTATTGAAAGAAAGTATATTAAGCACCTAACCTTAAGTATGTAAGTTTTTGCCTTATTCAAAAATGAAGAGACAATATATCGGATGACGACTGGTAGTTTAGAAGGTTAGATGAGAGAGATTGAAGGGCCAGTGAGAAATGGAGGAGACAAGGAGATAAAAGAAACGGAGACACCCCATGCCCCATTTTGCGAGAGGGTGGTACAGTGCAAAGGAAATCTACTTTCTAATGGCAGATCCCATGCTTGTTATAGATTTGACGGAAAAGGCTTGGAAAATAATCCAAATGGGCCTAGAGCATAAAAGCACGCTCGAAAACCTCAAGTCAACCATGAAGGAATTGGTTCCAGTGGTTGAGCAGATAGAAGAAAGTTCGGAGAAAATAACGGATATCGACGCCGAGGAAATAGCAAAGCTCACGGCGATGATGGAAGCAACGAAAGAGGTTATATGTAAGTGTTCCCAAGTGGGTTGGTGGAATTGCTGCCTTTTGCCATATTACAAGAACAAACTCGACGAAGCCGACAAGTCCCTGGTCAAGTACATATCGGTTCAGCTGCAAATGCAGATGGCAAGAGATTTGAGGATAATCCGTTTGAAGTTGACCTCTGACGACATCCGTCTAGCTGAAACCATCCATGATCATGAAATCTCAGGAAGAAATTCGGCTACGCATCTCTCTCTTGAAGCGGCTTCCTCCTCCGAACTCCCAAATAAATATGATGTGTTCATTAGTTTCAGAGGTGAAGACACGCGTACCAACTTGGCGAGCTATATTTATGCCGCCCTGTGCGGTGCAGGCGTCAAAGCATATGGGGATTACCGGATTGAGGAAAGAGAAGAGGTGAGACCATCGCACGAGAGAGTCATCGAAGCCTCAACTATGTTAATCTGGGAAGGAGAAAAGTTGCAGCCGTCGCACGAGCAAGCCGTCGAAAACTCAGCTCTGTTTCTTGTGATATTTTCAAAAAATTATGCATCGTCCACATCGTGCTTGAATGAGCTTACCAAAATACTCGAGTCCAAAGATCCTCTTGTTCTTCCAGTGTTCTACAAGGTAGAACCAACACATGTGCAGAATCAGACGGGGAGTTACCAGGTTGCATTCACAAAACACGAGCGCAAATACGAAGCCCACAAGGTTCAAAAATGGAGGGCTGCTCTCACTCAAGCTGCCAGCTTTCCTGGTTGGAACTGCGCCGCTAACAGGTAATACTATTGAAGTTGCATTAATCGTTATTACCATAAACATAGTAAGTCCCTGGAAATGGTGATTACCATACCTCAGATTTCAAAATTACCCTCTCCATATTCTTCTTCGTCGACCTCATCTCCACCTCAGTACCTTCCAGATGTGCCACCTCGGCGACCTCATCTCCACTCCGCCTTCCAGATCCGGGGAACACCGCCATCAGCGACGTTCGCACATACCCTCGGCGGCATCGACGACGTCCACGTTCACGCATTCCTTCTCCGTCGACCTGTGACTTGATGCGTTTTCTATTTTTCCATTTTTACGTTATTATAAAAAAATTATCAGTACCCTTTCTCTCACAATGAAATAAAATTAATAACAATAAATATTCAAAATAAAAATATAAATGTGTTCATTTAATTTGCCCAAAAGAAAAAAAATCCTCCGAGGTTTTTATCCCCGACTAACTATAATTTCTCCTGGAAAAAAAAGAAACTATAATTTCTCTCTGTAATATATATTTTTTTTTCTCAAGTGTTGTGGTTTCTATCGAATTTCTCATGTCTTTTTAATTTTTCTCTATTTATTCATCTATTTTTTATTATTATTTACAGGTCTCTTGCTGATCTTATCCAAGGTATTATCAAAGTTGTGCAGGAGAAATTGCACAAGAATTGATCCGATCCCATGCTAAATTTCTCTTAAGGACTAAATGGAAGACAAATTTACATCAAGAACTTCAAATAAAATCATTTGTTTCTTTTTATCTGTTGTAAAATCATTTGTTAAGATCCAGAAAATTTGTAAGAGGTGTTACTTATTTTACAAGCATTTTTTTATTGTATACTTTGCACATAATGTCTTATTTTGTGTGTCTCTCTTTCTGGCTTTCCATGACAAGAAATCCGTTCCCAAGTTTCGCATGCATTAAATTTAATTATATATAGTGTCATTTCCTACTTCATTGACTTCGTCAGGGTTGACCTAAGTTATAATTCTCTTAAAAACGGCACCAATCAATGAACCAAAAAGTTAGTGATTCTTGGTTCACCTTATCCAATCGGTTAAACTGAAAATTTTGATTTTATTAAATTTTTTAAATAGAAGCCAATTCGATATGATAGTAAAAGGAAAAACAAAATAAAAACTTATTAGAACCTTATAATATAAAAAACAACATTATTTATTTATATCTAAATAACAAAAATTATTTATAATAGAACAATAATATTTATAAAAAGAATACTTATTTAGTTATATATCAAAACAAGATATACAAATTTTCAATAAACTAATAAATTAGATAAAATCTCAAAAAGTCCCACCACAATTCAATATATTATTTTTTTCACAAAATTCATGTATATGAGCTGTATGAGGTGAAATTCCTATATACAGTTCTGTAATAGAGATGAAATGAAAAAAAAAAAAACCATCAACTACAACTCCAAAAAAATCAGATCCCGTAAGCAACATAGAGGAAGAATAAAAAGAATATCCTCTCAAGATAATCATATTTGCTTTGGTATATATACTCTTCAAGCACTTGAGCTCACTTGAATATATATATATATATATATATATATATAACGTGTATATATTTAATAGATGATGTGTATATATTTAATCATTTAATTAATAATAAAAAATCTGGTTATTGAAGAATAGACTCTAGCCTTTGGTCTTTAACTTTCATCATTTTCCATGAATGTCAGGAGGAGACATAAAGGAGTTAAAAAGGTGAGGAGATCATGATTTTTAAAATTATTATAATATATTTTTTAACTTGCCTAATCTTTATGAAAAGAGTCCTCATTTTAGGTTTTGACTCAATCCTTCTCTACATCTCTACAGGTTCTCGTCGTTCAGCGAGAGATGTTTCTTCCTCTCCTGTGATGTCTGACTCTTCCATTTTTGGTGACAAGCTTTCATCATTTTTTCAATATTTATCAGTAAGTTGTTGCTCCTTTAATACATAATAAAAAAATCTTCCTCCTCTCCCTTCTTATCTCTGCTTCCTTCTCCTCATCGAAGCTCCATCTTCTCTTCTCTTCACCTGAAAAAAATATCAAAAAAATTTTAAGAATCATCTGGTTCAGGTTTCAGTCTAATAGCAGTTTTTTGTCCTATTCCTAGCTCAATATGGTCTAATCCGGTTCAATCATTGGAACAGTTTTTTGAAGAGAACCGAGCCATTGCCATGGTCGGATGGCTATTTGACCAGTCGGACTATCCAATCTGATCTGCTCTTATTTTTAAAACACTGCTAATTCCAACACCACCCTTAAATGCTTATAGTTACTCATAATTACTTGTCACTGTATGAATGCATGCTTGTTGCAATAAGATTAATACTTGTAAAAAAATTAAACCATATTTATTAAATTTTTTTAATTTGTTCATCATTAAATTATTGCATATCAATAACCTATGATTACTTATTAATATGCGAATACATGCTTGTTTCAACAAAATTGACATCTGTGAAAAATTAAATTACACCTATCAAATTTTTTAACTTATTTATTATTGGATATCTTCTTGTTAATTATTCATGATTACTTGTTTCTTTCCCATGGACTTGTATTCTCTCTCTTTCTCCCAAAAGCAGAGTCGGTCTTTGCTTTCCATCATGCTAAAGGTCATTTTACTTCCCTGATTCCTTCCCATTATTTAACAACAGTATAGTCTCCTCCTAGTGTTTGTTTACGGTACATGACAAGATTTCTCCCCTTTTGTTTTCCAAGCGCGTCACAAACAAACGATAAATACTACACCTGTAATTAGCTCGGGAACTGGTTAACCTCTTCAAAATCAAGCTACAGGGTTCTTGAGTGAGATTTCTCTTTTTTTAAAACTCATGACAACTCATGTAATTGAGGTTTAGTTTTAATCAAAATAATTAAAATAGATACAAAAATTATTAAAATAGATAATATTAATAGGTGTTTTAAATGAAGTATTTCGGTTGAGAAAACTAAAAAATTACAAATACTCGTGATTTATGTTTCGCTTAAACCTAGTTGAAAATGTGCTTTTCATAATCATGATGTTTCCGTTTTGATCCTGCAAACATTCTTAAACGCGTGAACGGCTTAGTCAACTAAAGACAAAATTAGATTCAGAGGACATTTTCCATTTTGTCTAATTTAAAATGACTTGGCCAATTCCAGGGCAACACAATAATGTCGCATTCTTGGACAATTGAGCCTTTGGGTTTAGGAAATTTCTATGTTTCCAACAAAGAAAGAACCTGCATTTTGGTTACATCCTGTGGCAGAGAGAAAGGGGACCAACAAGGACCGCAGCGTCCTAATTTTTTTTTAATTTTTTTATATTATATAAATATTACATATTTTTGATCCTTTTAAAATTTATAAAAATTTTATAGTATATATATTTTTTTAATCTTGACTCTCCTTATTTTTAAATCTTGAGTCCACCCTTAGTTATATCATTCAAGTTGAAGGCGGTTCCACAGTTGAACGGTGCCTCTGCATTCCGTCTCTGGAAACCTCTGAATGTCAAGTCTCAACAATACATCATAGTAATTAAACTACAGAAAGCAGACAGTGAATAGAGAGGCCATAACAAGGGAGCTAGAGTTTCTAATGTGATTTTTTTTTTTTAATGCTCTTCGTAATACTTTAACTCTTTTTTTGGGTTACTGACTCTTAAAATAAGAGATATTTTTATCTCTTAAAATCTTGAAGTGTTCGGGATTTCTATTTTTTAAATATTTTTTTAAAATATTATAATTATACTATTTTATTTTTGAAATTTTTTTTTAAAAATACAAAACTCAAACCGTTCAAGAATGCTTGCGTTTCTCGTTATATTAGATTTCAAGTCCTTGTAATCGTTCAATTTGTCTCACAAAAAAGATATATATTAGGAATTTCAACTGAAATTAATGTCTTTTACTCTTCCAATTTTTGCGAATTAATTGATTTTTAATTTGAGTTTTAGAAATAAAACATCACCTACCCCGTTTATTTTTTTTTTATAAAAAAAAAACATCACTTACCCCTCTCGAGTGTTTTTACTCCCTCTTTTTTTTTGGGAAATTACTAAAAAGAACCAGTTAAACGATCTGAAAAAAAACGCACCAAGGTCCTTCAGATAAATTAAGATTCAATAAAAATTACTTAAAAAATGATCAAAGGAAAATGATCCCTTGAATTATATAAACGATAATCTGATCCTTCAAAATGCTATAATTCCATTGAAGTTACTAGGAAATTCTATGTCAATAAATTTTAAATTGAAAAGATTATTTTATTTTTATGGATAAGTTATGATTTCTTATTTAATTCTTGCAATTTTTTGAATAAAAATTATTGTTCCTTAAATAAAAATTATGATAAGGGTTTGTTACTTTGAGAATTTATTTTTTAATAGTAAAAATTATACTTAATATGTTGTGATTTCTTATTCAACTCTTACGATTTTTAGAACAAAAGTTGTTATTCCTTAAATAAAAATTGTGATTAGAGCTTGTTTTTCAATAATGAAAATTACACTTGACAAGTTGTGATTTCTTATTCAACTCTTGCGATTAACAAAACAAAGGATATTATTTTTTAGGTAAAAGTTGTGATTGGGGCTTTTTATTTTCAATAAGAGCAAAATAATCTTTTCACTTTAAAATTTATTGATACAGAAGTCCTTAAAACTTTAATTGAATTATAACATTTTGAAGGTCAAGATTTTCGTTTATATAATTTGGAAAAATTTTATTCTTATTTTCCTAATAATCAAAGGGCCTTTTTTGTACCAACCTAACAATCAAAGGCTTTAATTCCTGCGATCCTTATGCCCAAATAACTTTAGGGAAAATTGTCAAAAAAAAAAAATTGACCAAGATTTGATTCGCGGATAAGGACTTAAGTAAATTTGAGAAAGTTGGTCCTTTGGAAGCATAAAATCAGACATAAAGTATGACCATTTTGCCCTTATTACATTTGGCTTGAAGTGAAGAAGTTATCGATATAAAAATTTAAATTATACATTGGTATTTTGTAAAACTTATTCTGAGTGCTTCACATAGTTATAGTTAAAACCCTTATATTAATTATGCATAATTTGTCTATTAGAAGAAGCAAAACTCCTTGTTGATGCTATTTGTACTAAAAAAATGCTGTTGTAGTATTTTCAGAAAGTCATATTTTTAGGAGAGGTTTTGTGACAACTTTTGCAAAATATTGAATCTTTTGTTCTCATTCTTCATGTTAAAAATGATCCATGTTGTTGTCAGATGCCTTCATAATTTAAAAATTAGAGTTTCTTAAGTTAATGCATTCTAAAATGTGGGTTTTGTTTCTATATTTTGTGCCAACTATGTCTTATTTTCTAGGCATGACATGAGGTGTGAAATGTTTTTGGCTTTTATATGAACAAGATCAACAACTATATTGAGTGTAGTATTCTTGTTTAATAATCTATTATTCTGTTTTGACATGGATGATAATAGTAAAATTGTATTAAAAACTCTCAAAATTTTAAAAAAAATTTCTCCCTTCCACCTCACCAAACAAGCCCCTCCTCTTTTGTTGTTTGGATGGGACAAGGAGAGGGAATTTGGTGAAGTAGAGGGGAGAAAAAATATTTTCCCAAACCTCCCCACAGTTTGGGGGATCCTCCCCTCCACTCTAAAGCCGGGGTCAAGAAAGTATATCAAGCTTGTCACCTCTGAAGAATTATTTCAATGACTACTAGGATGGAAGCCGTCAACTTTTTGTTTTCTACTTTTTTTTTTTTGGCAGGTGGAAGGAGAAGCGTGATAATTTTAAAAGGTTTGAAGTTAGACGACGTAAAAGCTGAAAGGGTATGATAGAAATTATTTATAATAATTATAATGATATACTACATCCCAATCTTAAACATAAGTTCATTTTAACTAATTCTATGAACCAAAAAAAAAAAGGTTGTTGAATATTTGTAATTAATATAAACAGAATTTATAATGCTTTTACAAAAATAACCCTTCCATTTAAATATTAAAATTTAGTGCGTAGAAATAAAGATCTTCAATAAATAAGGTTATTGTGAGAAAAAAGTTTTTTTAAATAAAAAGACAAATATATTAACTATAGTAAAATGTAGTCTCGGAAGAAATTGTTAAAATAGGCCTCTTAAAATAACAAGAAGAGCAAACAAGACGTTCTCTTTGGAGCGACAGCTTTGCTGAGAATATTGAAAGGAAGAATGACGTCAAAGGCTCACAATCCAAAAAGAAAAAAAAAAATTAGCACTTAAAAGTTCTATATATTATAAATTTATTCTGTAAGTCTAAAATGTAAATATGTTTTTTGAAAAAAGATTTATTTACTCTTTATTTAAAAAAACAACATTATGCATGAAATATTGTATTATTAATGTTATATACAAACATTTTTATTATTTATATTTTAGAAAATTTATACATTTTAAATAAGGGAGAAATAAGTCGTTTTATTAATTTTTCTTTTTGCGAAAAGTCATTTCCCCTGACAACGTATTTATTTATAAGCTTTTGACCAGCCAAATAAATTCAAAATACATTAAATTTTAAGTGCAATTTTTTCTTTATTTGGGAATGTCAGCTGCCATTTTCCGAATGCAATAAGTTTTCACCTCTATTTGTAATAAAAATAAAAGAATATTTTTACAAAGAATTATTTTAAAATCTCACTCAACACAAATAAGTACTCTCTGGTCTATAACATTTTTTTAACTTCAATTATCAATAGACTTAAGAGTAATTAATTGTAATGAACAAGACTTGTATGTAATTCTCCTTTATTTTTAACAATTTGTAAAAGTAGTTAATAGTAAGAAAATAAAAATGCATATAGAAAATAATAAATTGTCCTATAAGTATGGTTAAAAGTAATCTTTTATCTGGTCCATAAATAAAACCAGAGGGGTAATCTATAATTTTATTGTCGTTTGTTTTTTCATGATAGTGATTTAATAGTTAACTAGGGCACGAGCAATATTTATTGCAATTAATATTTATTGTATAAATTTTCCAACCATCTATCTCTTATTTCCAAAATTAGTTGAGTTACATTTGTCATAAGTTTTCTGACAGCCATATTTTGTTTCCAATTGAAATTTTTTTCCATTTAAAAACTTATATTTAAAGTGATCCTTTTTATGTAGGCTAAAAGAAGTTACGACTTAATAATACAATAAATGCATAGAAAAACAACTCTCTAATACTAGATCAAAAGGAGTACAGTAAAATGGCGTTTACACTGACTATATTAGCGTGGTAGAAAAAGTTATTTTAATCAAGTAATATTCGGTCTAGTACAAACATTGAATTTTTTTATTTGGTATTCTTATACTGTAAAAAAAAAAAAAAAGAAAGAAAGAGTTTTGTTAGTATTCCCTTCACCTAGCTCTCAACAATGGCAAATAATTTTAACTGCACTAACAAAATTTGTTATTTTTGGTCCTTTGCCTATTTCATTTTACTAAATAAAATAAATATATAATTTAACAATTTTTGAAAGCAGCTTTCGTGAACACATTAAGTTAGATAGGTTGACTTTGGGTATATAGGAGACCATTGTTCACTTGATGAAAATAAATTGCCTGGGTTACAAAATAATTACGTTTTATCGAGTGAGAAGATTTACAGTAGAGTTTGATTCCATCGATGGTAACGATAATTTCTAGATTGAGATAGCCTGCATCTGTCGATAATTTTGTTAAAGAAAACTATATGTTAGACTGAATGGACATTAAAAAACATTACATTGAATTTTCATAAATCCCTAACTAAAAAAGGATTCACACAAAGATTTTGACTATAATTATTAATTTTATCAGTGAGTACTTTGGTGAATTGATAGAGAACAACATTTCCAACTTACAGAACAATGTCAACAGAAGAGAGATAACCGTATTAAAGTAACAAAATCTATATGAAAAAGAAAGTGATCTAACATAAAAGCTAAAGAATCATACATTAACAATCTCACAACTATATAACTGCAACAAACATAACTTAAAATGGCCAAAAAATTTACCCATTAAATACAAGATACAATACTTCAATTTAAAAGAATATCGCAATTCACATAAGTTCTCAAAAAAAAAAAAAACAAATGCATAATGATATTGAGGATACAAACCAAAGAAGAACAAAAATTCATAAAGGAAAAATAAACCTGCCAGACCCTTTAACTAACCCAATCCCACATTTCATACCTTAATCGAAGTTTTGATTACTATGAAGCATATCACCTACGACATTGAAATATTGTCAAACATTTCCTGAAAGACAACATTTTGGAACATGGCCCTTGATTTTTGATCATTTGAATGTATTAATATCTTCAACCCATATCTAAATTTTACCCTTGATAAAGCAACATATAGAGCAACATATAGCTCGCCATGAGTGAAAATTAAATTGGGCAAAAATATTCTCACTTGTTCCAATGATTGTCCTTGACTTTTATTCAAGTCATTGCAAAAGATATAACAAAATAAAATTGCCTTTTATTTAACTTAAATGGCAACCTTGAGTTAAAAGAAGTCATATCCATTTTATGAATTAGTGCCTTCTAATTAACATGAGATCCATTTAAAATCCGTACCTCAATTACTTTGCCACCAATCCACTCAATTGTCAATCAAGTTCCATTACACAATCTCATTGACTAATCAATATTTTGAATAATCATGACATGCATTCCAATTTTCAATGACAATTTATGAGGAGGCAACCTAGAGCAGTCGATGGTATTTAGGAATCTAGGTGCATAAATATCATCAAATGAATCATTTTCGTAGGGTGACAAGGCAGTTGAATCACAGTTAAAAAAATCCACTTGCTTTCCAAGAAAAATAAAACAAATGTATTGATTGATTTTATTCACAATATTTGTTGTGGGAGATAGAATAGCCCTAGGTGTAAACAGAGAATCTTCACACCTTTCCTTCACATCACCAAAAACAGCATCAACTATTGCCTTGAAAGGATCATTATATTGAAGGATCAAAAAATCATTCAAAATTTGAATATCAATATAGCCATTGCGCGGCTGGTTGATTTTCCTATCACCTACTTTAAGTAACCATTTGGAAAATTCTTCCAAATCATGATGTTGTTGCTGTTCAATTGATCGTAGCCTTAGATTTTTTGTGAGCATAAAAACCTTCCAACATTGCTATAAATATGAATGGTTAATAGTTGTATTAACTATGTTAGCCGTATTACCCCTAACAATGACTGGTAAAATCTATCTAAAATCACCTCCCATCACCACACATTTCCCCTTTAAAGGCAAAAGTTCAGTTTCATCTTAATCAATCCTCAATATATCTCTGAAGAATTTATTGACTGCTTCAATACAAAATTGATGAATCATAGGTTCATCCCAAATTATAAGTTTGGGGAAAATTTTGCTTAATGCAACAAGTTGAGTTTTCATTAATATATATCATAATAGCAGATCTAGATGTGTCGTGCAGCCGTTAGGAAGTAATGTCGATGTAATCCCACTGGAACCAACACTTAACACAATTTCACCTTGAGATTTCAAATAAGTACTCAAACAATTCCACAAATATGTTTTCCCAATGCCACCAAAACCATAAACAAAGAAAAATTTTGCATCTTGACTTGACAAACTATCAATGCCATGATGGAAAATATAATATTGTTCTGTTGTCAACTTGGAAATTAATTCACTTACCTGTAAATAGAGAAATTGCCTATCAACATTTAATTCTTCCAAAATCAAAGTATTAGCAAAGTCAAAAGGACCATTGTCAAAAGGAGCTAAGAATTCAGGGTAATCACCCAATAATCTTCCATTGTTGCAAAGGAAATTGTTTATAACTTTTAAAGCTTCGTTCTCTTTTTCCAATAATGAGAATTTAATTCCTGGAGGGAAAAATTAAAACACCAGGTTAGAAAACACAAACCAACATTGATGTAGCCTAGCATCAACAAATTTTCGATCATCATCTACCAATCTCATTGCATAACATGTTGATCTATAAGTAGGATGCACAATATTATTGATAGTTCGAAGGGCTTCAAAGGAGGAATCACCTTCAACCTTATTAAGCATTACTTGCAAAAAATAAAATTCCCCATTACCAGGATGAATAGTTAATTGATCAATCTTAATTCCTCTTTATCGATACTTCCAAAGTCGATCCCTTTTTGCTTTATAAACAAACCTAGATGAAAATTCAGCATATGTCAAATCACGCCCATTTTTATTATCAAAATTATTCTTCATCCAAGCAATCAACTTGGACTCCCCAATAGTAGGGCTTCCTAATATAGACTAGAGTTTAGAAAAATTAGAATAGAAAACAGGTTGCTAGTCAGGCAAATGAAATGTAAGCCTTTTGACAGAAGGGTACTTGTATTGAATATTAAGGCTGAATATTCACCTAGCTCCCTCACCAGATGAGACATAACAACAATCACGGTATTGCTTGATCTCATCTTGAAAACCATTAGGAACATTGTTCTGATTCCCTCAATAAAAAGAAGCAATAACTCTATCATTCCCTTTACTAACATATTTGAAAAGAAACCTAACAGAATAAGTATAATTTGTCTTTTCCACATTTAAATGACATTGGAATTTTAGTAAAAGGTAAGGATTATATGGGACCATAAATGATTGTCTAAAGGAACTCCTTTCCTCAATATTGATATACCATTATCCCTTCTCTTATAAGTACGATACCCCTCTTTATCAACAATTGTCTTAGAATGAAATTTTTTTACGTAATATTTACAACATTTTCCATCTTTCATACAAGGAGACTTAAGATTAGAACCGCCACATGGTCCATGAAGCATATGATCTTTCATAAGTTCATGCAAAACTGGGTTCTGATCAGGATCAGGTATCTCTGCAAATATCATCTTATCAATTGCATCAGCTGTTATTATCTTATCTTTATTCGCAAGCCATAGTATAATATAAGCATGAGGGAGGCCTCTCTTTTGAAACTCAATACTACTATTAAGAAAGGAAAGAACAAAATCTTTAATGATATCAACACAAAAAGAAATCAAAGTTCAAACAATATAATATCATAATTAATCAAGTAACACCCATATTGTTCAGGGTGACAAAAGCTTACAAGTTTGTAGTGTTACCCGCCTCAACAATCCCAAAAGCCTCTTTATCTTTTATGACCTTGAGTAATGATTGCAATTTCAAACAAAAAATCCTCGCGATGTAATTTGGTCGACAAGATGCTAGAGAAGAATATATTTGACAAATTTGTTTTAATTTAGGCCAAGCAGGGTTACATGTGAATGTCAAAAATAAATCAAGGTGACCTTTAGCTTGAGCAATAGCCATAACATCTTGGTAATTTTCAAGAAACCATTTTTTTCTTCACACTTTCATGCTCAGATTGATATGCATACTCAATATTAGATTCATACCCTCTATTACCAAATGGAAACAAAATTGTGAACTGAAGAGGTAAGTACGACATATGAAGCTCATGAATTTTCCTAAATTCACCAAACTGTTTCCTCACAATAATATCCCTCAGATGATAAGAATGGTCAAATTCTCCAATTATCAGGGCAGTAATATCAGAAAACATAGGTACACATAATTCCTCCGACCAACTGATCTTTCACTCAATAACAGTATTTTAATATCATCTTGATAACTGGTTGTAACAATGTTAGAAGCATATTTGTAAAGCTGCACCAATACATTAACATTGTCAAACAAAGACATCAGTTTCTCTGCAATAATTGGATCTACATGATCCTCTTTATCGCGTACCCTACAAATTAAAATAAAGAACATAATTACAAAAGAAAAATAATATATCCACTTCAAATGATTATAAATATATCCACTTAAAAGATACTTGTAGCTCACTATAGCTATGAGATTATCAATCTCATTCTTAGTGTCAACCACATAAAGTTGAGAATACACAGGAGTAGTTCCACTCTCAAGTAGAAGACTTCCAATACGTTGATAATTTTGTCCATCCAATGTAAAGGAATATGGACTAAGTCCATCATGACTCTTTATTTTGCCTCCCATCAAAGTAAAAGAAAACATATTATTATAACATCTTATATTCTTTATAAAATTCATAGAATCACTTGAATCATGGTCAAAAAACAAATGCTTTAACTACATAGGTGGCTCCAACTAAAGTGGCAACTTTTTTTTTCCTTGTAAACAACAAAGGGCAAATTGCAATGATTTGGCAGACAAACCATGTTTAACCCTTTCATGATACCACATCAAAACACTACATTCACCACAACAAAAAATTGGATCTCCTTCATCAACATATCCTACAAATTAATTCAATTATCACAACATTAGCAAAGCTATTAAAAAACGTAATTACTATAAATAACTCATTAAAGAAAGGTATACAATCATTATATCAAAAAAAAAGATTGTCTGATATTATCTTTTATGTAAGGCTCTAATATATGACCATTGGAAATGCTGAAAAAGCAAACCATGACTAATTATTAAATAAAAATTAACGTCAAACAATAACACTCCTCCTTTCATAAATTACAAAAAATAGAAATAAAATTTCTTACAAAAGGCAACATCAGAAGAAATTACACAAAAATCTTGCCACATTTAAAAGGCCTTCTTTAAGTCCTTTTTATAGGTTGACCAATATCTTTCACAACATTCTTACACATGAAAAGAAAAAAGAAAAATGGCATAATTCAGCCACGCCAAAGGTTCAAAAAATATAGAAACATTCAATATCAAAAATAACAAACTACCACCTTGATTCATTAATAATAATGTCACAACCTTGAACTATACTAGATTCAGCGACTATTATGTCTTCATACATTGACAACGGCTCAATAGAATTCAACACTCATAATTTCTTTTGCCTTCTTGTACCATAGTGTACCATAAAAACACAAAAACTATTTGTCAGTAACACTAAAAAAAACCATAAAAACTTTAAATTAAAAAAACCTAGCAACTTATGATAATTGTCTATATGTTCATCACTATAACTAACTTTTCTTTTCCTACATGCAAAGACTATACTATAAAAAAATTAACCCAAATATCACACATAACAGATAAATCACTTACATTGAGTAATAAATTAGACACAAAAAAACTCAATACTACAACTAACCTCAACTCGAATAAATGAATATCATTAGAAGCCCTCTGCTGACTTCTAATAGAACCTTTATTATATGGGTCCTTCCAAAATCCTAACACTCTTATTGATAAAAGCATTACCACATTCATGTCAACCAAAACAAATAATCACTTAAGATCTATATATAAATTAATATCAAGTACTTTCCGCAACACACTTTGCATTATATAGTTTACAGAATATAAAATGCCACCATAAATGCACAGATAGACAAAACAAATATTCTAAATAAACCTATTAATAGTTCCTAACAAAACTTACATGATTAGAGAATACATTAAAAATAACCAGTTCGTGAAATTGGTGTGTACATGTTTGGGTTTGGTTGCAACTAAAAGAATTTAAGAAATAGTTAAGTAATCGGAGCAACATGTCCTTTGACCTGTCTCAGCTATAAATAAGGGTCTAATAGTCAGTTGAACAATACACTCTAAATCATATATACACAAACTTCGCATTGTTTTGACCCATGGTTGATGGCACTTCACATTGTACACTCCTACTTATTATACACTAGATACCGAAACAAATCTCATTATTATGTAAGATTAATAAAAACCCACTTCAAAGAACACATTCAAACACCTACTAATTAATGTTCAAAGAAAAGGTTGTAGGTAACACAACATGCATGCATGTGCATCTGCTCTAACTTTATCTTCCCTAGCTTTGTAGTTCGCACATGTTCAATGCTTTTGAATGTGATCCACTAAATATTTATTTTCTATTTCTAATTAAAGCCTCACACAATTCTAACGTACTATTATACACTTTTTAAGATCAAAGAAAATGTTGCTTTTTCTCTTTCTTGCCTTTTGTTTGTTTGTTTTTTTTTTTTTTTTTAATAATTTGTGGCATCAACTTCACTACACCTTTGATGTTTCACAGAATTATATGCTGTGCCGTTAAAAAAAAAGTCATCTATATAGCACAAGTAGAAGAATTAAAAAAAAAAAAAGTAAAATGGACAGACAATTTAAGTAAGTAAAAGTAGCTATTATTTCAAGAAATGTAAATATATTTACATATATATTGATAATTGAAATCTTACAATAATTACTTAACTAACAACAATAGGGCCATGTGAAAAAGTTCTAGGGCCTAAGACAATTATTTTGAGAGGCCTATATTCAAATTTTGTAGCTGACATTTTTACAACTCTAAATGCTATAAAAAATTTAAAAAACAATCATAATTTTAGACAAAAAGTAATATAAACAGTAAAAGTATAACAAATACACCTGAAGTATCCACCACCTTAAATCTATTATTGGTGTTTTTTGTTTTAAGTTCAATTAGATAGCTAGCTAAATATTCCAATAAGAGGAAATTATTTGGCAAATGAGTGACAATGCAACAAGTTTGAGCACCATAGTAATATTTACTTTTAAAAAAATGATGATAGCAGTAATTCAATTGAAAGGAAGAGAGAGTTAGATGCTAACAAAGTGGTCCCATCCATTCTATTTATTGCGGTAGTATGTTAATGTTACCTCTCTGAATGGCTAATTGATATTATGGAATGAGAATGATAGATACAATGAAATGTAAGACGATCGATGAATTGTTAATGAAAAGATGTAATTAATAGTAACACTTAACAAGAAAAATAATGAGCTGAATTACACAGAGTATAAGAAAAAATTTTTGAAGCCTAAGGCAATTGCCTCATTTGCCTAACAATAGACGTCTCTAACCAACAACGTTATATTCCACTTGTTCTTCATTACTAAGTTACATAGACCTAGTAACTTCTCTAGCCATTGATTCTCCTTAGGTTGTCCAAGTTACAATCATTCATGTTTCATCTAGTGCATCTGACAGACAGTTTCACAGAAGGAGTTCATAATGTGCGCGCGTGCACATATAACATGAAAAGGTTGTTGTTTGTCAATATGTAGTGGATGGAGTTGTTTTCTATTGTTGTTAGAGAAACTGCTTTATATGATAGATGCATTAAAAATGAGGAATAAATTTAAATAAAAATTTCATACCTTCTTTAAAGGATTGACCATTCCTTAAGTCAGAAATTGTTGGTATTCCAAAAACTTCTGCTGAATTTAAGGATGCCCCAAAATCTACCATTCTTGTATCCATTTCTTTCAGCTTCGGAAATTGCAAGAGACAAAGATCACTCACGATAGAACCCATAAACCAGTGGCGATCATGAATGAAAGGTTTTGAAAGTTTAGCAATAAGCAAACTTTCTAGGACAAAAGACCCATGATAGGCACCAACGACATCAATAGTGAAAGAGGTCGAAGAGCAGCTCATCACCCAAAAAAAGTTCTTGTGTGTTACATCTTTAATCTTCAAAAAGTGCATCAAGAAACGGTGAGTCATGATAGAAGCGATTTAGGTAGAAAGGGTTATTTAGTTTGGCAGTGAGCGAAGTTTCCTGGAAAAGAAACACACCATCAGCACTGACGGCATCCACGGTCAAAGTGCCAGAGCAGCAGCACCGCAACACTAAAATACCAACAAACCATAGGATGGAATCATGACAACTAGCGTCGATCAGAATACATCAAATGTATTTCTAGAGACTTCTAAAACCTCTGTTTTGCACGAGCACCAATTAAAAGCGCAAGTCAAACAAGCAATATCGATATTTGAATTGAACTTTGAATCGAGAAAGGATGGTCAAAAAAAAATGGCTAGGACTTTAAGGGCAGAAAATGGGCTGACATTTAACACGTCTTATTTCACTTGCTAACTTTGTACAGTGGATTGAAATACTTATGGTCAGGAGAATTCAGCTCTAGTGACATGATTCATTCTTCGGCCGTAATTACAGCCAAGCTGAAACATGCATATCTGGACCAACCAGAAGGTAAACTCGTGGAATCCACAGCATCCAAATATAAAGACAAGTAGTCCACATTGTTCCCTTTAGGACATATGAGAATTCTCCTGATTGCAAGCCCAAAGAAAATTATATTCAAAACACAAATGCAAATTATGTGAAAGAGGACATAGATATTCAGTAAATTCCAACCAAAGGAAATACCATGGATACTCGCCCATGATGAAAGTCTTGGAATAGAACTTCTCAAAGTTTAACCTAGAGGAGTTTTCAATTCTCCATGTGAATTTCTCACTCGGCAAATGACTTGTTTGTTGATTATCCATTTGTATTTATGCACAGCCAGCCAATTCCTACACTAAAACTGAAATGTACATCAAGCCTTAAGGGACAGAGAAACTAAAACTGAAAAGTAAACCCATTAAATTTCCATATTCAGAAAAAAAAAAAATTAAACTGATGATTTACAAACCTTAACGGAATAATTTGTGGTGAAGCTATTCTCAGCCCTTTCAACCTTGAATGAAGAAAGACAAAAACTCCGACTCAATGAAACACAAAGCACTTCAAAGAGTAGAATACGTATATGAAGTCTGATCTACCAAAATAGAGCTTCAACAACAAAGCAGAATCTAGAATCCAAATAGTGAACACTCACACCCACACACACTAATAGGTTCAAACTCGGGAACTTTGAGTCAGATGGTAAAATTGGATGATAGATGTCACGATACGAAACAGTAAGAATAAGTAAGGAGGTAGACAATATCGTTACCAGAAACAGACACACCTTGGGAGTTCCTATATGAAAATCATGTCCATAACATTTCCTGCGACAGTTCAAAAAATAATCTTCAACATCACAATCTTAAATCCCTCCACTTCATTGATGGTAACCCCTTACAATCAAATGAATCAAGGAAGAGACACACCAAGAAAACAAAAAAAAAAAGGCTTGATTATAACTTGATTATAAGAGTTTGAACAAACCAAAGAGCGTTGGCGATATTCAAGAGAGGGTAACAGTTGGGACTACCATCGGCAAAGATGACGTCAGCTAACAGGAAGGCAAGGGAAGTTAGATCCTCGACAAAGTTGGACTCGAAGAGGCACTCAACTTCTTGGATTATCCTTTTATGCACGTATCTACGCAGATTGGATGCAAAATGAAGGACGAAGCTTCCAAGAGAAGAGATCTACTGATCTTCGAGGAAGAGAGATCCGATAGTGGCTTTCACAGCGAGAGTGATCGTGACTGTGGAAGCCAGCGGTGGCTTTGACCATTTTGATTTTGAACGAAGAAGAAAAGCTTTGACGGCTAGAGAAGAAGTCAAGTGGAAAATGAGGGAGTCGAGTGAAAGCACACGAATGAAGGAAGGAGGAAGAAAGAGGGGAGTCGAATTAATGTAAGAATGCTAAAGGAGCGTTCAGGGTTTTGTTGGGAAGAGCAAAAGAAAAAAAAAAAAAAAAAAAGGAGCCGCATAGGTCACTGTCATAATTCTTTTAATTATAATTTTTTAAAAAGGCTTTATTTAAGGAAAAACCAGTTTAGTCCCTTTCAACCAAAGCCGTAGAATGCATAGCTTAATCAAGATGTGAGTTGCGAAGCCCGAAACTGAGCCGTTACTGTTTACAAGAGGTATTTTAGTGAAATAAATTTTAGTAATATATTGATAGATTTTAGTAATATATTGATGAAAAGAAGGTCACTGTATTTTACTTTAAATAATATATTAGGAGCTCCAACTGAAATTAATGTCTTTTACTCTTGCACTTTTTGTGCATTAGTTGATTTTTAATTTGAGTTTTAGAAATAAAACATCACCGCCCAATTGCAAAGGGTTGAATTGGTCCATACCGCTTTTCACGTTAAAGAACATATTGAGAGTGGCCCATCCCCTCCTGGAAATGTTGCGCTTGATTCCATGAAGTTTCGAAGTCACTATGTATTCAAATATTGAGAAGGCCATAGCCATACGCGTTTAATTTTGTCGGATGCTGCCAACGAAGAGATTCCATTCTCATAGGCAGATTGATCTTGGCTTAAAACTCCAAACTAGCTTTGCTTTCTTTTACTCATTTATTCGTTTTGTTAAATCCGTGGAAGTTTCGCATGCATTAATTTAGCAGTCATAACCTCCCTTCTATCATTGACCAACTTAGCTTCCTCAAAGTTCAAATTTGAAGGAGTCCCAATTCTCTTTCGCATATCCATCAAAGCAAGCCAAGCAATCTGATATGTCGTCTTCTTCTTCCTCTGCTCCATCATCTCCACCGCTAAAGAAATATGATATTTTTATTAGATTCAGAAGTGAGGACACGCGTTCCCATTTCACAAGCCACCTTCATGATGCTTGTTAAGTTTGTGATTATGAGTCATATGGACTCTACTATTGAGAGAAAATTATACACCATATCTTAATGAAATGAATAATTTTCTATTAATCAACAAACCCGACATACAAAGTATTTATAGTGCTGTGCTGACCTCAAAAATAATACAAAAAAGTAAATGATATATAAACCTATAGACAAAATAAATCTATCTATTCTATTTCTCATTTTCGACACTCCCCCTCAAGTTAGTGCCATAAAGATCTATGGAACCCAACTTGTCTAGAAGATATTCATGTGCTTTTCTACCCAATGCCTTGGTGAGAACATCAACTTCTTATTGTTCGAAATGAACATGATGCAAGTGAATGATCTTTTCCTATAGTTTGTCTCTGATAAAATGACAATTCACTTCCATATGTTTTGTCCTCTCATGGAAAACAGGGTTGTTAGCCATGTGTATGACCTCTTGACTATCACAGTAAACACTCATAGGTTGAACATAAGAAATGTTCAAATCCTTAAGCAATCCTACAATCCAAATGACTTCTGAGACCACAAAACTCAAAGCCCTATATTCAACTTCCGCAAAGGACTTAGAAACTGTGTGCTGCTTCTTTATTTTCTAGGAAACCTAGACCATCACCCAATTTAACTAAATAACAAGCAACAGATCGTTGGGACATATTGCATGAGGCCCAATCTGAATCACAAAAACAACTCAGATTTGGGTTTTTATTTTAGCTAACCAACACTTTAAGTCTTGAGTTTTGTTTTAAGTAATGAAATATAATCTTAGTAGTTACCATATGAGCTTTCATTGGACGGTTCATAAACTGGCCGATAACCTACATAGGAAAGGAGATATTAAGACGAGTCATAGTTAAATAAATCAACATTCCCATCAACCTCTTATATTCTCTAGGATCCCTCAATAATTCTTCCTTCTTATGTTTACCTTCTTCATATGCTAAGAGCTTCAAGTTTTGTGTCATAGGGATGTTAAGAGGCTTACAACCACTCGTACCTATATCTAATAATAGATTTAGGACATTTTTATGCTAATTCATCACTATACCTTTATTGAATTTGGCAATCTCAATCCTTAAAAAGTACTTTAATGACCCCAAATGTTTGATTTTAAATTTGGAATTGAGAAAAGCTTTAATTTCAATAATACCAACATGCGAATTACCAGTTATAAGCAGATTATCCACATAAATCAATACTAAAACTATGCCATCATCAGTATGTTTAGTGAATAGTGAATACTCATACCTACTTTGTTTTAAATCCAACTTGCAATAAAAGCCTCTGATAACTAGCAGTTCTACTACCTCGAAGCTTGTTTCAGCCTATGTAGTGATTTTTTTTAATTTACATGTTGTATTCTCCCCTTTACTGTGAAGTCCTTAAGGTACCCTTTTTTATATCTCTTCATTTAAATCTCTCTGTAAGAAAGCATTATATACATCCATTTGGTGTAAACCCCAATTATTTTGGGCAGCAAGATTAAGTATAATTCTAACTGTCACCATCTTAACTACTGGAGAAAAGATCTCATGATAATCTATGCCCTCCTTTTGGTTATAATCTTTAGCCACTAGCCTAGCTTTGTATCTATCAACACTGCCATCAGACTAATATTTGATTTTAAAGACCCATTTGCACCTTATGGCACATTTATTTTTAGGTAATGGCACTATATCCCAAGTGTAGTTATTTTCTAAGGCTTGTAACTCATCATTTATAGCCTGTACCCATCTTTTATCTTTCATAGCAGCCTCATAACTAGTTAGATTATGGAATCAATTGAGGATAAAAATCAATGATAAGAACGTGATATGTTAACGTAAGAAACATGATTTTGAATAGGATACTTAATGCCAGAATTAACACATGAAGAAGCAAAAAAGGCATAATCTTTTGCCCATATTGGTGGTTTTCTTTACTTGGAGGGTCTCATCGTAGGTTGTTCAGGTGTTTTTATGTCTATTAAGTCCTCTTTACCCATATCATGACCATAATCTATTTGATTATTAACTTGTTTTGTGTATTCAGGCCTGTTTGATTTAGGCTTATAATGCATGGTTTCAACATCATCCTAAAACTAGTTATGATTAGAAGACCATTGAGATTCTTAGTTCGTTTTGTGCAATATCTTTAAAAGGAAAACGATTCTCAATAAATTTAACATGCCTACTAACAAACACACGTCTAGTAGCAAGATCAAGTAGGATAAAACCCTTTTGATTATGTGGATAACCTAGGAAAACACAAGGTATAAATCATGGTTTGAACTTATCTATGATGTTTAAGTTAGTGGCAAAAGCAAGAGAACCAAACACCCTTAAATGATCTAAATGAGGAACCTCACCATAAACCAACTCATACAAAGTCTTAAATTGCAACATTTTGGAGGGAATTCTATTAATTAGGTATGCTGCAATTTTCACACATTCTCCCTAATACTTAATAGGCATGCCAGATTGGATTATTAATCCCCTTAAAAACTTGAATTAAACTCCTATATTCCCTTTCAACAATTCCATTCTGTTCTAGGATATAAAGACAAGTTGTTTCATGAACAACCCCCTTTTCCTTTATATAATTCCTAAGAGTAGAATTAACAAATTCCTTCCCATTGTTAGTTCTAATCTTCTTTATATTAGCAAAGAATTGGTTTGAAACATGAGAGAAAATTTTTTTAATAAGATTTGTAGTTTTAGATTTTTGTTTCATTAAGAAAACCCATGTTGCTATGGAGAAATCATCTACAACAGTAAGAAAGTACCAATGACCCATGCGTGAAGGTTCTCTATAAGGGGCCCTAAACATCCATATGTAATAATTCAAAAGACAGCTTGGATTTAACAGTACTGGTAGAGAAGGGCAGTTTAGTTTGTTTATATTGAACACAAACATCACAAATTGTATTATCAATACCATAAGCATTGTGTACATTTGGTAAATGTTTAATAACAGTGATGGGTGCATAACTCAATCTACAATGCCAACGTCAATTATGATCTATTATTTTATTCAAATCACAATTCCTAGTAGTAAGAACATGTTGTTTATTATCAATGGTCAGAATATACAATCCCTTAATCAATCTACTAGTCGTTCTTATCTTACCATCTTGAAAGTCCTGCAAAAGGCAAAAATTAAGGAAAAAAATGCTACTATGCATTTTTGTTCTCTTGTGAGTCTAGATATGGCAATCAAGTTAAAACAAAATTGGAGAGCAAACATGACATTGTTCAACATAATACCATTAATTAATTTGATGTCACCTATGTGAGTAATTCAAACACTTTGTCCATTAGGGATTTTAATAGTTTTAATTAGTCCATTATATTCTCTATAACTATTTAGATAATCAAGACTGCTCACCATATGGGTAGTGGCTCCTAAATCTAAAATCTAGTCAACATGTAAATTAGAATTATAATTACCCAAACCTGTACCAGTCAAGGCGTGCCCTATTGGCTCTAGATCCCTTTTTAGTAATTGGAGGATTTGTTCATACTGTTCTTGTGTGAATAATGGTTCCACACTGCTATTTACTTCATCTTATGTAGTGTCACTTGCCACTTGATTAATGCGCTGCTCAAGAGCCTTTTGTCTTTACTTTTCCAATTGGGTGAAAAACCAACAATATGGAAGCAGTTCTCTTTCACATGACCCTTCTTTTTGTAGTGGGAACATTTCACATTTAGGTTTCCATGACCACGTCCCCTTCTACAGCCTTATCCTCCAGTGACTGCCATAGCATTGCTATCAAACATGGTAGGCTTGTTCAGGTTCATTATAGATCTTTGAGCTTTATCTTCAACAATTATGCTATACACTTAATTAACTGTTAGAAGGGGAGTCATCATCAGTATTTGACTTCTCGCAACACTGTAGGTATCATTAAGTCCCATTAAGAATTGTAATAGCTTCTACTATTGAATTAGATCCCCATAAGCCTTTGAAGTCACACATTTACATGATGGGATAATAATGAGCACAGCTTGTTCTTTGCATGGCTCCTTTAGTCTGGT